TTGTCCAAGAATAAGGTGTGTGTGCTTGTCTAGCCATCTGTGGTGAACAGAATATTGATGTTAGATGTTGTTGGGCTTTTTTAAAATGTCCACTTCCATGAAGATTTTTGCCACGTATTTATGTTGTGCTGGTCACAGGTTTTAGAACTGCATCAAGTTTTTCTGTGCTTTCAATATTCACTATCTCTTCTGATCTTGACAGATGAGCAATAGTGATGCTTGAAATGTTGTGTTTAGCCAGATTTCTCCCAGGGGTTCCTTCCTGCTCACGTCTTTCCCCTTTTATCTCCCTCCTACCTATGTTGCAAACCAGCCTCCCCAGTGATGCCATTTCAGGGAGGCATGTTTTCACCCTCTCCAAGATGTGTCTGAGGCAGGACTGCCCCTTGTTTTGCCCCTGCTGCTGTCCTGAAAATAGACACAGAGACTTAGGAAGGAAATGTCAGGGCTTGAGGATCCTGAAGGAGGAAGGGAGAGAAAGGACAGTAAATGTCATTAGGTGAGCAGATGCAGGGAAATAATGACATTCCAGAAAGGCCTCTCCCCAGTAAAAAAAGCATCCTCCCAGCCTCAGACTGAGGGGTGCCTTTAGCTAGGCAATGGCCTGAAGTCATGAGTCTTGAGGCTTAAATGCTGAAGCAGCATATCTAGTACATAGTTAAATTGAGTGGCTTATTAACAGTGTTTAAAAATGATCTCCCACCTTTACTCGCGAAAAACAATAAATGGTAAATTATGGAAAAAGTAGACTTGCAAAAACCAGCTGTAAATATTTAGACAAAATAATAAAAGAAGTTACTTGATGTGTCTCTTCTGTCTGCAGTGCTGTTAGAAGTATTTTCCTGACCTGCTGTTAATATGCAGAGATTATTTTTGTAACATTTTGTAAATTATCTGACAGCAAAACTGAGCTTTGCCCCATTTAATGTATTTCAAGTGAACTGATGCAGAAAACATGCACTGTGTGGTCTGCTGCATGTCCAGATGAGAGCTGAAGAAAATCAAGGTGTGGATGGATTGTTTGCCCAGAAATCAGAAGGCTCCAAAAGGGGCACACACATCTCTATATACCAGAAATAGGAAACTATGTGCGTTTCCCATTTGCAATAATGTTCTTTGGGGACAAACGGTGTCATGGAGATGACCTGGCAAAACTGAAACATTGCTTCTGTAGTGGTGCATGGGCATTAATGACACATGGCCATCACAGGGTAATGCTCTGTGGAGATGCTGCTTCTCACAGCTGTGGAAGTGGTGGGACAATGAGAGAGCAAGGCTGCACCTCCAAAGCCCGAACAGAGAGCATCATATTATCTCCCTATCCCTGTGAGCTGAGAGGGCAGCCTGCTGTGTAATGGCAGGATGACCAGACAGTGCTGAATGAGTTAGTGCCAATTCCTTTATTTTACCAAAATTGTTGCATGTTTTTGCTGTCTCTCCTGGCTTTCACACCCTCAGAGGCTGAACAGCCTCCCTGGTGAACAGGTTCTACTGCTTCTCTCCCGGTGCCAAAGCCCTCTCTCCACTGGCTGCTGGTCAGTACACTGCAGTCTCCCCACTCTGCTGCCGCTGCTTTGAAGAGCTGTTTACTTGCACTTGCACATAATTAAAAAAAAATCCCGTACTTGAAAATGGCAGGCTGAGGCTGTAGCAGAAAGTGGGAATTAAATTTGCTTACAGTCATCTCAGAAGGGGATATTTCTGTGTCTGTGCCTTTGCCTGTGATTCACTGTGCTTTGGGAACAAATGGAAAGTAAAGGGGTCAAGACTTGGAGGGAGGAGAGGGGAGAGGATGGAAGAGATGCTAGAGAGAAGCCCTTTCTGCACAGTTTGGTAGGCGAAGCAGACTTTATCAGAAAAGTGTATATTAACTAAAATTAAGTCACTGATTGCCACTTAGACTGAAAAATGTGATTTCTTTCACCACAACTGCAGAAAAAATGGCGTTGGGCTAAGAGGGGTTGCATTGTAATTTTAAGTCAAATGAAGCCAGAAGAGGGGCAAGAAGAAACTGAAAGAAGCCTCTTGAGTAGGGAGGTCAGAGGGTTGGCAGAAGAGCTTGGCTGCTTAAGCCGTATTTTATTTGCACTAGGGAATCCATTAATATGCTCTTTGGAAAGGTGATGGCAGCCAGTGCCAGGAGAGGAAGTCCCAGGCAGTCCTGGAGTGGAAAGTGCACTGCAATTTGTTGTGGGTAGGAAAAAGATGATAGGGAAATTATATCTGCAGGAACAGATTGCCATCAGCCGCACTGGGAAGTTCCCAGGAAGCTTGGCTGCCCCGCACTGATCCCCAGCTGGAGGCTGTATCACTGGCATTGTACATGAGAATAGCAAAAAGTACATCTGCACTGCTCTTTTGCTGATGCTTCAGTTCCTACACCAAAGGATGAAGGTGTAAAAACATTACAAGGAAATGGATCTTGAAAATGTTCCTAACATGTCTTAAACTTTCCAATATATGTTAATAGTAGCAATTTTCTGCTCAGTATTTCTACAAAAGCCCTGTGTGGCACTGAAGGATTGCATCCTCCAGATGTCTCAATTCTGGAAAAGCTCTAAGCAATCGAAACAAGGGTTTGATGAAGTGAAATGGGTGTGTCAGTGTTAGCCATGACAGCATTACCAGCTTTGCTGCTGCTGCTAAATTCCAAAATCATTTCCTGTCGTAGCAAGCTTCAGTAAGATCCTCGAGGGTTCTTCCTCTGTAATGTCAAGCATGACTCATCCTCTCTTGCACTGTCAAAGCATTCTCAGTTCTGTAGAAGCAATGCATAATGTGACTGAACACCAGGTGCTTGGATCAGCTCTATTAATTACCTGTCAAATCAGCTGTCCTCTGGACAAAAACGTAGCAACACTTGCACATGTGTATCTATGTGTGGAGTGCGTTTTAAGGAGAACTATATACCCATACAGCTGCTTTGAGTAAACCAGCCCAATTTGTGCTTTCTTTTCCAGCTGAATTTTTCAGTCAAACTTCAAGTACAGTGTTAATAAAAATATCCTGTAATATTCAATATGTGTTAACTCACATATCTTGTAATTGCTACCCATCACCCCAGTTCTTGTTGGCTTTCTTTACAAATAATACACAGCGCCTCACATTACCAGTCTTCTCATCTGTTCCTCTTTATTACTGCTTCATCTGCTTCTTCCCTGAGATCACAATCTTATTTTTAAGATTGACTGCAATGTGCTTTTGCACTTTTAACATATGGGTGCCAGTGGGTTTTCAGATGCACCAAAACATACTTCATTTCATTCTTTATAATCGTGTGCACATGACAAGCTCTTGATTGCCCATCTTTGCAGTGCTAATGTTTGGACACTAAAATTGTGTTGTTAAGATAGGCTCCTTCTTTTCAGAAGAAAATTTTACTTCCAATGCTGTCATCACCCACAATAATTATTGCAGATTCATCTGAAACTTCCAAACACATATGTTCTGGTTTATATAAGCTGCGGAAGTATGAACCATGTCACAGACCACAAAATGTTGCACAGCTGCTACCATGTACCTGTTGTTAGTGTGCTGGAATCTGATTCTGCATCAAAGTGACTTCCTCACCTACGAAAGCTGAAAACACAGACTGCATTAAGAGATTGCTGAGTTTTGACTGTTGATTTCTTCTTTCAAACTGAAATATTAAATTTATAGAGAAACCTGCTTTACTTGAAAGAGACTTTTCTCGAAAATCATGGTTGGCTCACGCCTAGAATTTTATTCAATCCATTCAAAAAACAGACAGAACTATAACATGGCACATATTGTCAGAGAGTACAGATGTCACATCATTCTTTATATAGATTAATTTAAATCCATAGATGAAGACAGTGAAATAATTGCCCTGCGTGAGAAAATAATTAATGGTCTTCTGTGAAAGGACTAGTCTTCAGGCAAGCATTTACACAAATGTATGTGGTTAAGCATAACCTTTTCTATTCTCTATAAAAATATAAGCAGCATTTCAAAATGTCTTTAGATAAGTATGAGATAACTATGTTAAGGTCATCTAACATGGTATTAATGTACTGACATAATATGGGGCCTGGGCATATCAAGCCGCATATAGTAGTGTATACCCAGCCAAAAGTAGAACATTTTGTATGAGCTTCAAACATAATACAGTATAATAAAAGAAACAATATCAAACCAAAGACACAAAAGTTTGATGCTACTCCTTCCATATGAATTTCTTTTTCTTAATTTTTTAAATATTTTGTTATGGCAATGACTAAGACAAAAGTGGCAATTTTGCACAGGTTAATTGTAACTCAGGATCAAGTATAACTTGCTTTTCCCAGAAAGTAACATTGCTGGAAAGTGACATGTGCCAGGATCAAATTATGGGCACTCACTGTCATGTATGTTTTACCTGTGCAGTATTACTTTAATACAGACTGTAGCATGTGACAGGAAGACAAGTGCAAATTACAAGGGCAGAATCTTGGCTTCTCTGACAGCAGAACCAGGCAGTCTAAACAGGGAAGAAGAAAATTAAACAAAAAACCAACTCATCTAAACTTTAAAGAATGGGATGTAGGGTGCTCTTGTTACAGCTTTCATAAATGCACTCTGTGTTTTCCAGGGATGCAATCTGATATGCTAAACACCTAATCATTGTTGCAAGAACTTACTGGCTCAACACAGATTAAAAGGTTTGAATACACTGAATATACTGGTCACAGGACTAACAACATAATTTCACTTTTACCAATTCTAACTTTGTATTGGAGCAGCTTCCCCATCAGCTGTGCATTTGTACAGCAGAGCACTTGTTGTAATTGACTAGCACGTATGCCAACAACAGCTGATATTTTCCAGATAAAGTGATTTACAAGTGACAAACAAAACCTAAGGAAAGGTCAGGTTTCAGATAAAGGCTGGACATTTTGAACTTTGGACAAAGTGACAGGTATCTTTGATTCTCCTGGTGCTGGGGCTTTTGTGACTGGGTTTGCATGAGCTTTTATATCAGCTATTCTCTCTTTAAATCTTTGCTGGAGGTACTTTTCTTCTTTGGAGTAACTTTTAGCAAAAGCAGACATCAGCAAACATGCTGCCACGGTAGACACTCCAATGCAAAACAAGATTGCTCCTGACAGCTTGCATATATCAAGGGACCCATTAAACTGAATGGCATGAGTATCCACCACAACAAAATCGTCTTTCCCAAGAACTTCGATTTTTGGTAGCACAAGAAAACCCACTACAAGAACTGTTAAACCTATCAACATAAAAGCCGTCCCAGAGATGAGTCCAACCTGGAAAACAAAAAAAACCTGATTAATATGGCTTTCCAATTTTTAGTTGGTGAGGCATTTAGCTTTCAAAATGTCTTGCAGATACAGTTCTCTCTTCTAGTAGAAGGCTGATATTTTTCTTTCAGGTCCTTATTTGGCCCTACTAGAACTAGAATATATGGAAAAACCGTCTTTTTACAACTCATGTAATTCCATATTGACATTTCTGGAAACAATGGAATATGCATCTATATGTCTAAATAGCATTTAATGTCCAAAGGCCCCATCACAGACAGGACCACAGTTTAACTCTAGTGCTGTGTGACTATTTTTTTTTGCTTTATCACCAGAGCAGAGGGGTTGGATTAGATGGTCTCACAGGCCCCTTCCAACCTCTGGTATTTTCCCGTTGTCAAGTTCCATGACCTTAACAGAGATCTTGCAGTTTTCTTGATCTCTAGGTCACACAGCCCCAGAGTTACTGCCGTTAACCTACCAGTCCTATTGCCAGTGATCTGGAAGGACTATTGTGAGTGCAGAGCAGAGTTAAACTACACTGTCAAGCTATGGGTGGGGTTTCCCAGACAGGACTTTGATGTTGCAGTGACATGGTTCCTTGTGACAGAGAAACTAAAGGATCCAAAGATCCTGGGACTCCCTTGGCAGCTGATATATCTTGCTAAGTGTGCCCTGTTTTCAGACACACTGTTCTTCATTCATCTCAGTGAAAAGTAAGCCACATAAGGCCTTTCTGGATGAATCATGTTACATGTGAATATCTCATAATGGGAGTTTCTCCAGCAACAGGCAGTACCTTCCAGAATGTAGAGCTCCACCTGCTAGGTGATCTCTGGATCTGAAAATCATCCTCATACTCCCAAATTGAAGCTGTGCAGTCCTCATAAAACTGATGCAGGTAGGAACGAACTCCATAGCGTTGGTAACCTCTCTCAGTGCTGCCCTGCACATGCTTGGATCCGCAGATGTGGGTATAGGAGTTCATCCTTCCTACCTGCAATGAGAGGTTTCATGCAAAGCAGATCTAGTTACTGATGTGGCAAGAGAGGAAAGCTGGCTACAAACTCTCCAGATGACACAAAGAAAAGCAGCCTAGGAGAGACTTTTCTCTCCTTTTTTTTTCCAGTCCAAGAAATGAGTCTCGAAGAGCTGTGTGTGGTAACTCAGCTCAAGTGAACCCAGGGGCACTCGGCAACTTGGTGCAGCGGCCTAAAGCTGCAAGGAACATGCCCTCCCATGTTCATGACAAAAGCCAGCATCCCAGGAGGAAGGGAGGGAGGAAGGGAAGGAGGGAGAGAGGGAAGAGGGAAGGGACCTTCCAATTTTTCTGCCCTACAACCCTTTGCCCTTCAGGAATGTGTAATCTTGCTGGGTATGAAATACCTGTGTGTACAAGAAAAACAAACACTGCTGTATTTAAATTAAGCAGAAGACAGAAAGTATTGATGAGGAATGGCACCAGCCTGAATGAAGCTCTTGGCTGGCTCTGAAATCACTGTTGGTATGATGGTGATCTTCCAGTCTTTCAGAATCTGGTTGTGCTCTTGGCTCAGCCAGAGACAAAGAGGGTTTTGTTTTTCCCTCCGTATTGCTAATAATTATAATATTGTTTTTTATTTATTTTGTGTATCTAGTAAGTATTTTGTTTGGGATTTCATAATCTCAGCATCTTTTAATTGCAAATATCTCTCTTGCAACTTAAAATGTTTCAAGACTTTCACAAGAAGTCATGGCCGAGTGGAAGAGGAGGCCTCCATGACACTAGGGGGCCTAGCAAAGACCTGAGCTCCCTCCAGGAGTGTGGGGGAGGGGGCAGTGCTGGTGGCTGAGCTTTGCAAGAGCAGCAGGGGTAGAGTCAGGCAGAGCTTCTATCAGGACCCCTTTCTTTAAACCCAGAACTGTCTTTGCATCACTTTCCCTGGCATCCCCAGCTTTCCCTTTTCCACTTAAGTTAAAGTGTTAGGAAATCAAGGAAACCCTCTCTGACTCTGAGAATGGGCTTGCTCTCTGCTGATGGTACAGCATCAGTTCCCTCCAGAGTATGCTCAAAGTGCTGGCCTTCTAAGGCAAGACAGTGAAACAGGGTGGACAGAGACCTTAAGATAGCAGGAAACTCCTGGGCAGTGCGAGATGCTCACCAGGTGAGCAGAAGAGAGCCTGGCACCCAGGCTACCCCATATCAAGTTGTATGTCACTAACACTGATGTGTCTGTCCCACAGTTAATATATTGAAAAATACAGTTTGTTGTGCTCTTTTACAATGCTATGAGCTTTTGAACACTATTAATTTTTGAGGTTAAAAAAAAAATAGTGGCATCGATAGAAGTATATAATCTGAAATGTTGTATGTATATATGCTGAAAGTTATTCTACTTTTGGAGCCTGTTTATTCTTTTACAAAAGAGCTATTTTGTTTCCCTTAGGAGTCCCGCCTTCTTCTGTTTATTCCCTACCTGAAAATAGAGGAAAAGAAGTACTCTTTTCTCACTGCCACCATTTCTTCAATAGCTAGCTGCCATCTTCCACAGGACAAGCACTGAGGAGTTCTCATAGAGTTCTGCCCATCTCATAAAAATACCTTAGGGTGAAAGGAGAGGATGAAGCAATGGTGTCGTTTACCACAGCTGCCCCAGCTCCCACTCATAGGGTCACACAGCCTCAAGGATAAGAACAAGTTTATGTACGTCCATATCCTTCAATATATCTTTTGGTTATGAACAATCAAGGACTCCATCTCCCACATCAAAAAGACAAAAAAGAGGCCAACTTCTCTTGGGTCCTTGCTTAGATCTTTATTCTTACATCAGCTGTACTTCCTTAAATAAATTATGCTTAACTCCCTGCCAACCTATGTCATTCATGTAAGCATATTTAGCATCACACAATGAGCAGAAAGGAAGGTATTTTCCCCAAGTGTAAGTGACTTCATAACATCAACAGAGGGAATGACCGGACCTAACACAATCAGATAATGTGGCCTGCCAAAGCTTGCTTGCATTATTCTAGCTGTCACCAGAAGAGCTTCTCTGGTTTCTCCAGAATTCAGAAAGCAGACGAAGCATATTGCTGAGTCTGAACCAACAACTGTACTTATTACAATATAAGAAAACTCAATGTAATGTGACAGAAAACTCTATAAATAGTTCTTTCATTCACTGCACTCTCTGCAGGTTTAGTCAAGAAAGAGGGTGCAGTCTTTCTAACAGCTTGATGAAGAATTGCCTACAAGAACCACAGGGGCTGAAATCACTTTCATTACACATAGATTCTTTTCCTTTAGCAATCTAAAATGCTTAAAAGTGTTTTTGGTCAGGCATATGAGTAAAATTATAAGTAAGAGATTGGGAGGTAGAACAGAAAACAAAAGAATGATGTTTTGCTTGAAAGAGTTGCAATAGCATCAAATAGTATGACCTTTTAAAATGGAAGGGGAAAAAAAAGGACTACCAGCATCATTAATTCTTTACAAGCTCTGCATATTATTAGTCCTACTGAGTATTTTCTTTACACTCAGACTCTTCCACTTACGGTAAGTAATCTATCTTTTTGCAAAATATCTTGTTTATTAGAGAGAAGAAGGCTTCCTAGTCTTCACTGAAGCAGCCTGGTAATGTGGCCTAAGATGGCCTAGTTTCTCAGCTGCAAATGTAAACATAATGTTGTTCTTGCTGCTTACAGATGGTGCAAAGGAACTGAAACAGAGTATGGTGAGAGGAAACAGTCCTCCATAAATAAGAATGAAATGCATGTCACAGCATCAATGTACATTGGATGAATAAATACTGCGGTAGCTATGACCTCTTGAGTGTTGATGTATATTTACATGTCTCATCTTCATGGCTGAAAAATTAATAATGAAATGTTGGGAAACTTTTGTTAAAAAGAATCACTGTTACTCAAGTCTGCATTATGAACAAGCTGAGAACATGCACCCAGGCTGCACAAAGTGGTTTAATGATTAAAGTTTTTCAGTGCCTAAACCCAAGGTGCCTAAGAACACGTGGGATGTACAATCACAGCTTCAGAGTGCACCGCTGCATAGTTGCAATCTATCCCCTAGCAACTTTTGTTTCCATGGCAAAAGCTACCCTGTTTACTTTGAGCTTTACTATTCTCCACTGATCTGGGGAGATGTGATTGTATTGGTGAACAGACAAATAAGCATGCTCTGAGAAAACTTACCCAATGAATTTTCGAACTATATTGCTTTCTTATCAAAGGGCCGAACACATTAAAAAAAAACCCAAACCATAAGGAATTGCCAGTTGAAAGGCAGGACAAAGCAAATAAGGATGCACCATTGCTCTACAACCACCAAATGTAAGTCACAAATGCCGATGGGTTTGCACAGGTGAAGTCCCCCTCTCCCTTCTCCAGATTTACACACTGTGACCCTTCTGTTCAGTGCCATGCTCCCAGTCTCTACCTACAAGACCCTTCTGAAGAGTGAATACCAGAATAAGTAACGTATATTTCACAGCAGTCTCCGAGATGGCCTTTTTGATGCATCAGTTATCTGCCATGCCAGTGCCCAGGCTAGAGACCGGGCAAAGTCACACTCGGCCTGACCCAGTCCACCAAACTCTACAGGAGTCCTTGCATAGACATGGATTCAGCCCAGCACCATGCCCTCACAAGGGGGTAAA